CGCCCACACGGTGGCACGGCAGATACTCACCCACAGTGACCCTTCCTCTCCCCTGTGATTTTTGAGTCGACTCAAAAATCACCTTTTGAGTCGACTCAAAAATCACCTTTTGAGTCGACTCAAAAATCACCTTTTGAGTCGACTCAAAAATCCCCTTCCTCTCCCCTGTTGTGTTGACCACTGGCAGACCGCAGAACGTGGGAGTCTGGAGCTCACAGGGCAGCTGGGCGATGTGACAAAGGAGAGCGGCACCATCGCCCGGCAGATACTGGGCCGAGCTGGCCCCGGCAACGACCTCTTCAAGAAGACGCGCATGCACATGCACGTGCCGGCCGGGGTCACGCCCAATGACGCCCCTTCTCACACCCCTGCCCCCCTTCCCCCCTCCCTTCCCCAATCACTCGCATGCAGACAGGAGAGCGAGGCAGTCTAGAGCTGACCGGGCAACTGGGCGACGTGATGAAGGAGAGTGCCACCATCGCCCACACGGTGGCCGGCAGATTCTGGGCCGAGCCGACCCTGGGAATGACTTTTCAAGAAGACGCGCATGCACATGCACGGCCGGCCGGGGCCACGCCCAAGGACGGGCCGAGCGCAGGTTGCACGATGATCACTGCCATGCTGTCGCTGGCGCTGGGGAAGCATGTGAAGGCGGACCTGGCGATGACTGGAGAAGTCACTCTTACAGGGAGGGTGCTTCCTATCGGGGGGTGAGTAATCTGGTGGTGTGGTTGGGTGGGGTGGGGTTTGATGGTAGTGTCTGCCGGAGCCACGCCCAAGGGGCCGAGCGCTGGGTGCACGATGATCACTGCCATGCTGTCGCTGGCGCTGGGGAAGCATGTCCAGGCAAGGCAGACCTGGCGATGACTGGCGAGGTCACCTTGACTGGCCGAGTGCTGCCTATAGGAGGGGTGAGTACTCTGGTGTGGTTGGGTGGGGTGGGGCTGGATCGGGTGCACCATGATCACCGCCATGCTGTCGCTGGCGCTGGGGAAGCGTGTCAAGGCAGACCTGGCGATGACTGGAGAAGTCACTTTGACTGGCAGAGTGCCGCCGGTAGGAGGGGTCAGTCTTTGCTGGAGTTGACCTATGTTGACTTGCGGTCACAGAGTCAAACTCCTCGTGTTTGCCAAGGCGAAAAACAAAGCCTACAAGGACCTCTACCTCTTCTCCTCCCCCCCCCCAACACTCCTCCTCCTCATCCTCCTCATCCCGCAGGTGAAGGAGAAGACCATCGCTGCCAGGCGGAATGGGGTGAAGGTGCTGGTATTCCCTAAGGCCAACCGCAAGGACTATGAGGAGCTGCCAGAGAACGTGAGCTCTACCCCTCCTGTCTCCACTTCCCCCCCGGTCCTCCTCCCCTACAGGTGAAGGAGAGAACCATCGCTGCCCGTCGCAATGGAGCGAAGACCCTCGTGTTTCCCAGGGCCAACCGCAAGGACTATGATGAGCAGCTGCCAGAGCACGCAAGCACTTTGTCTCTCATTTCCCCCCCCCCCCATCCCCACCTCCCCCGCCCTTCTCTCTTCCAGGTCAAGGAGAAGACCATAGCGGCTCGTCGCAATGGGGTGAAGGTGCTGGTATTCCCTAAGGTTAACCGCAAGGACTATGAGGAGCTGCCGGAGCGCGTGCACACTTCCCCTCCTGCCTCGCCCTTCCCCCCTCCTCCTCCCCCGCCCCCTTCCAACAGGTCAAGGAGAAGACCATCGCTGCCAGGCGAAACGGGGTGAAGGTGCTGGTATTCCCTAAGGCCAACCGCAGAAGGACTATGAGGAGCTGCCAGAGAACATGAGTTCTACCCTCCTGTCTCACCCCCCCCCCCCCCCCCCCTCCTCCTCATCCCCCTCTACAGGTGAAGGAGAAGACCATCGCTGCCAGGCGCAACGGGGTGAAGGTGCTGGTATTCCCTAAGGCCAACCGCAAGGACTATGAGGAGCTGCCAGAGCATGTGAGGCAGGGGCTGGATGCGTGGTTTGTGGACCACTACGATGAAATATTTGAGCTCGCGTTTGGACGGGAGTGGGAGAGGATGGACGTGGTAGCTGATGCGGTGGCTGAGGAGCCGCAGCGGGAGAAGACAGGGGGTATTATTGCATCGTGATGCAGCGGCTGGAGCCAATGTGGTTGCTCTGGAGCCACAAAGGGGGACAAGTGGTGCTGTCAATGGATCCTTAATATGGTAACTACCAGTAGTGGTCAACATGCGGTCATTTTCGAGAGTTAGAATGGTCGATGTGTTCGCTGATGAGGCCGGCCTGGAGGCAGATGGGGGAACATGGTGTTCTGTCTGTCATAGCTTAGTCACATGTGTAAGTTGTAATGACAAGTATGCCACTGGCAATGTGAAGCTGTTTACTTATCCTAGCTGTGCAGCAGGATTAATGGTTTTCAATGAGACTCAATTGAAATCGTTTTCCACCTTTCTCTCATGGTCATCAGTAGTGCTACTGCTAACTATCAGTAACTGTTTACACTCAGATGGCTTTTGCTAGTCAGTTGATAGGAGGGGGAAAAGTTTAGCATTATCGTTTGCTTACAGAGATGCAACCATATCTGCCCGAGACTGGTTAGTTATCAACTGGCTTCGCACCAATGCAAGACAATTTCAGCTGTGATGGCCAACTCAAAATTAATCCACGATTGTATACAGTAAACACAGAAGTTATACAACCATTAGGAACCACCACAGCTCATGTCTGCAACCAGCTTAAGCTGGTGTCACTCACTGACCACCACGGAGGCGGAGAACCAGATGAAGCGTAGACTCCTTCTGAATGTTGTAATCCGCCAAGGTACGGCCATCCTCGAGCTGCTTCCCTGCGAAGATCAGACGCTGCTGGTCAGGAGGATACCCTCCTTATCCTGGATCTTAGCCTTGACATTGTCAATGGTGTCGCTGCTCTCCACCTCAAGCGTGATGGTCTTGCCAGTGAGGGTCTTCACAAAATCTGCATTCCACCACGGAGGCGCAGCACCAGATGGAGGGTCGACTCCTTCTGAATGTTGTAGTCCGCTAGAGTACGGCCATCCTCGAGCTGCTTGCCGCGAAAATGAGCCGCTGCTGGTCAGGGGGATACCTCCTTATCCTGGATCTTGGCCTTCACGTTGTCGATGGTGTCGCTGCTCTCAACCTCCAGGGTGATGGTCTTGCCGGTAAGAGTCTTCACGAAAATCTGCATGCCACCGCGAAGACGGAGCACCAGATGGAGGGTAGACTCCTTCTGGATGTTGTAATCGGCGAGAGTGCGACCATCCTCGAGCTGCTTCCCCGCGAAGATAAGGCGCTGCTGGTCGGGAGGGATGCCTTCCTTGTCCTGGATCTTGGCCTTCACGTTGTCGATGGTGTCGCTGCTCTCAACCTCCAGGGTGATGGTCTTGCCGGTAAGAGTCTTCACGAAAATTTGCATGCCGCCGCGAAGACGGAGCACCAGATGGAGGGTAGACTCCTTCTGGATGTTGTAATCGGCGAGCGTGCGACCATCCTCGAGCTGCTTCCCCGCGAAGATAAGGCGCTGCTGGTCGGGAGGGATGCCTTCCTTGTCCTGGATCTTGGCCTTCACGTTGTCGATGGTGTCGCTGCTCTCAACCTCCAGGGTGATGGTCTTTCCCGTCAAAGTCTTGACGAAAATCTGCATGCCACCGCGAAGACGAAGCACCAGATGGAGCGTCGACTCCTTCTGGATGTTGTAATCAGCGAGCGTGCGACCGTCCTCCAGTTGCTTGCCGGCGAAAATAAGACGCTGCTGGTCAGGAGGATACCCTCCTTGTCCTGAATCTTCGCCTTGACGTTATCGATGGTGTCGCTGCTCTCGACCTCCAGGGTGATTGTCTTGCCAGTAAGAGTCTTCACGAAGATCTGCATGCCACCGCGAAGTCGGAAACCAGATGGAGGGTAGACTCCTTCTGGATGTTGTAGTCAGCAAGAGTACGGCCATCCTCCAGTTGCTTGCCAGCGAAAATCAGACGCTGCTGGTCAGGAGGGATACCCTCCTTGTCCTGGATCTTGGCCTTAACGTTGTCAATGGTATCACTGCTCTCCACCTCAAGGGTGATGGTTTTGCCGGTGAGAGTTTTAACGAAGATCTGCATGGTGGCAGACGGCGATTACCAAAGAAGCAGGAGCTCTGGGGTCGAGAACGAGTAGAAATTGTGAGAAAAGCTGTTGAAGGAACCTAGCTCGAGAATATGGATTCAGCTCTGGGGGAGACTAAATAGCCAAACGAGCCACACCACGGGATTGAGGAACCTCGTTGAACACCAACCATGGGGTGCTACTGCAGCCCTGCCCCGGCGATGGATGAATCATGAAACCCCAAGGAAGAAACGTCTCGAACAAGGAAATTGGTTGTGTGGTCAGGCGAAGGTGGCGGAAGCGTGCCCGGCAAGATTTTCTCGAACTGCGCGCCAGGCTCGACAGCATGACGCGGTTTCAAATGCTCAAACGGACCAATGAGAGTGAAAGTGGGTGGTTTGATGACCACGTGGGATTTCGCTTTGGAGGAGAGCCCGTTTCGCTGACTCAGCACGGACCACCGAACCAGGTCATGGATGGAAACCGAGGTCTCCCCGCGCTTCAGTCAGGCAAACTGTTCCCAGAACAGGGACGCGACAATTATAGGGTAATGGGTTCTGGGCAAAAAACTGTAACGGGTATAAGAAGGTAAAAACTTATAATGCATAGTAACATCTTAGCAAATCAAGTCAATCGCTCTTAGGAAGCTACATTGCCATAATATACAAGCATAATGGAAGTCCTATGCCCGCCATGCAATTTTCTTTAACATTTCATGACTGTAGACCCTATCCATGTGGTTGGACTCGGTAAACCGAAGAAGAGGCAACACCTGAGGAACCGTCGAAAGTGGCCGCAGAGCATAAGGCAAACCCCCATGTTGAAGCAAGGAATTGATCCCTTGCAAAAACACAGGTGAGCCCGAGGGATCTAGAAACGGCACTAGTCCTGTATCGTGAAGAATGCCCAAGAGCCCAATAACCGCGCATGTTATCGCATGTAACACAACGCTTGAGCACGGCCTGGAGTAGGAAGTGGGTGAGGGATACGCCTGGTACGCGGAGAAAACAACCTTGGAGCGTTGTTGCGTCCGGAGCTGGCAACAGACCGTAATGATGACGCATCGGATCCAGAAAATTCTGCCGACAATGGCGTTAATAGTCCTGTAACCACTCCTGATGATGATGGTAATGGTGATGGTGATGGTGATGTGGTGACGATGATGCTTCTGCTGATGAAGCTGATGGCGCTGCTGCTGCTGGTAGCAGTTGCTGGGTTGGTGGCAAGGGCGCTGCCGACAAGAGTGACAGTGGCGGAACTCCTGGTGGTTGCTCTGCCTCTTGAACAGCGGCCACAGAATCTTGTGTGACAGAGCAGCTACCACACCACCCACATCACCCAGCTGTGCTCCTGCAGGAGCTTCTGCCACTGCTGGACGCCGCGACGCCACAGAGCATGACTGCCATGCATCCGGACTCACCTCCTGCTCCTGCTCTTGTGACCTAAACAGTTGTGACTGTGGCTGCTGCCAAGGTGCCTGCTCCGCCTGCTGGCCCAGCGAAAGCGGCTCCACATCTGCCCTTGGTGCCAGAAAATGGCTCAGGCTGTGGCTTAAGCTGGACGAGCGCCGAAGGCTGGGTAACCGCCCAGGAAACCTCTCAGGTGACCGCTCAGGTGAGCGGTTCAGGTGTTTCTTGGCCAGGAATGGGCTGTCGACAAGAGACGGGCAGAAGCAGCCGAGGATGCTCTCTGGGAGATCGTCAAGCTCCTCAGGGGAAAAGCCAGTTTTGGGGAGCTCTGAGGTTGCCGCGCGGGGGAGCTCTTGGGAGCGGTGAGAGTGCCTCTTGGAGAAAATCGGGCCGTCCACCAAGGAAGGGCGGCAGAATCCTCGGATTGTTTCAAGTGACCCAGGGGAGGGCTCCTGTGGGTATAGCACACTGCTACCACCGCTGCTGCCGCCACCGCTGCCGTCCCCACTGCCACTGTTGCTCCCTCTGCTGGAGCTCGCTCTGGGGATTTGAGAAGCTCGCCCAGCCTGCTCCCTTCCATCGCTGCCTGCTGCGAGTGTGTGGCACCTGCCGATGAGAGTGATGCGCAGGCCACGACTCACCTGGGGGGAGAGGGGAGTGGGGAGGCAGAGGGGAGATATGTGAGCGATGCTATGGGAGAGACCTCCAGTCCCCCCACCTTCCATCGCTGCCTGCTGCATGGCACCTGCCGATGAGAGTGATGAGCAGGCCGCGACTCACCTGAGGAGGGGTGAGTGCGTGAGGGGGGTGGGTGGGGTGGTGGAGGTAGTGGGGGTTGGGGGGGGGGGTGGGGCGGGTTTTCAAACGTTAGGTTGTGGTTTTGTGTGCAGTGTATGGTGCCTCCCAATGAGAGTGATGCGCAGGCCGCGCTCACCTGAGGAGGGTCCTGCACGGATGGGGGTGGTGTGTGTGGCCCAGTTGGGGGCGGAGGGAGGGGAGGAGGGATGAGCTGTGTTGTGAAGAGAGGAGGAGAGAGGGATTGCTTACCTCAATAGCGGAGACGAAGAGGAGGAGCAGGGGGCTGGAAGCAGTCGAGTGCAACGACGATGCCGGCCAAAGACGTGTGTGCCGACACAGCACGCCACCCCCAGGAGAACTCCAAGGCTGAGACCCAGGTAGAGCTTGCCCACCGACGATGAGGGCTGGAATATGGACTCGTCTGAAAAGAACCTGCGGAGAGAAGGGAGATGAGGAGGGAGGACGAGCCCGAGGGTCACGACTATGCGGGCAAACACATGTGTGCCGACGCAGCACGCCACGCCCAGGCTGAGACCAGGTAGAGCTTTCCGACGCTTGAGGAGGGCTGGAATATGGACTCGTCAGAAAAGAACCCGGGCCCGGGGGGGGGCGGGGGGGGGGGGAGGAAGGGGGGGGGGGAGGGAATGGGGATGAGGAAGGGAGATGAGGCCGGTGGGGAAAGGTGATGACGATGCGGCCAGAGACGTGCGTTCTGAGGGGGTGCCAACACAGCAGGCCACCCCCAGGAGCACGCCCAGGCTGAGACCCAGATATGGCTTGCCCTCCCGAAACCAAAACCCACACTGAACCTTACAAACCCTAGAGACCCAACCCACTCCACTCACGAAACAAGCCCAGCCGACCAGCCACTCCACGCACCATTTGTTTATGGCGCCTGCAGCCAGGTGGATGAAGAATCCCCTGGCGCGCAGGGGACAGATGCGCCCTGTGCGGCCCTGTGCGGGGGCTCTGAGAGCCCTACGAACGTTACAAGCCCAGCCTACCCAGCCACTCCACGCACCATTTGTTTATGGCGCCTGCAGCCAGGTGGATGAAGATCCCCTGGCGCGCAGGGACAGATGCGCCCTGTGCGCCTGTGCGGGTGGCTCTTGAGAGCCCTACGAACGTTACAAGCCCAGCCTACCCAGCCACTCCACGCACCATTGTTATGGCGCCTGCAGCCAGGTGGATGAAGATCCCCTGGCGCGCAGGGGACAGATGCGCCCTGTGCGCCCTGTGCGGGTGGCTCTTGAGAGCCCTACGAAACGTTACAAGCCCAGCCTACCCAGTCACTCCACGCACCATTTGTTTATGGCGCCTGCAGCCAGGTGAATGAAGATCCCCTGGCGCGCAGGGGGCGGACACTGGCGCCATGGAGCGGGGCGGGGGCAGGTGCACCCTGTGCGGGTGGCGGGGGTCGTAGAGGCACTTGTGCAGGGAGGCCACCTTGGGGGGGGGGAGGGGAGGGGGGGGGGGGGGAGACACCATGGAGGGAAGACATGGCATGTACTGAGCATGGGGGGGGGGAGGAGTTAAAAGAGGGGGCAGGTGCACCCTGTGCAGGTGGCGGGGGTCGTAGAGGCACCTGTGCAGGAGGCCACCTGGCTGGGAGGCGAGGAAGGGGGGTTGAAAGGTGCAGGGAAGGAGAGGGGGGAGGAAGGGGGAGGAGAGGGGGAGGGGGAGGAGGGAGGAAGGGGCTGAGAGAGAGGGGTAGAGAGAGCGGGTGAGAGAGAGCGGGCAGATGCATTCTGTGCAGGAGGGACACCTCATAGGTGTGTTAGTAGTCGACTCAAAAATCGACTCATTACACACGTGTTAGTAATCTCGTTCTGAGTCGTCTCAGAAACGAGATTACTAACACACCTGTGCGGGAGAGACACCTTGTAAGGCAACAACGACAATGACAACGGCAACGGCAACGGCAACAGCAACGGCAACGAAAATGGCAGTAGGTGGCGTGGCTCACCTTGTACTTGTCCTTCGCGCGCCACGCGGCGTTGAAATCCGGGCGGCATTTGGAGTCAGGCAGCGAGAGCGACAGTGGGTCGGGGAGCGTGGTGGTGGTGCGGATGGTGGTTATGCTCTCTTGGCCCCAGTGCGCCTTCTGCTCGCCCCCTGACCGCTGACGCAGCACTGTCCTGCTTCCCGGCCTTGACAGACTCCGTTTGATTCCGTTGACTTTTCAGCCGCTTCTGCTGACGCATCGACCGCCACGTGTTGGACGGCGAGTGGAAGGAGACGTTGAGGTCCAGCTGGATTAAAGCCGCCCAACAGTAGGTGAAGTGGCAGCGCGTGGCGGAGGGGAGGGGGAGGGGGAGAGGGGGAGGGGGAGCACGGAGGGGGAGAGGGGGAGCACGGAGGGGGAGAGGGTGATTATTTTGTTGACAAAATAGAAAAACGGGGATAAAAGTGTAGTTTTGAGACGTCTCAAGACGAAAAAATCACCTGGATTAAAGCCGCCCAATAGTAGGTGAAGTGGCAGCGCGTGGCGGAGGGGGAGAGGGGAGCACGGAGAGGAGAGGGTGGGGGAGGAGAGAGAGAAGGGAGGAAGAGAGGGAAGGGGGCGACGAGGGGGGGGAGGAGGGGGAGTTGGGGGGAGGGGGGGAGACAGGAGGGGAATGGGGAGAGGAACAGGCGAAGGAGGAGAGGCGGTTGAGGGGGAAGAAGGAGGCGCGGAGTGACAGGAGGATGAGGAGACGTGCGCGGAAGAGGGGTGGTTGGGGGAGGAAGGAGGAGAAGGGGAGGCGTAAGGAGAGGACGAGGATTGAGTGGCGAACGGACGGGAGGAGGGGTGCGGCGAGGCCTGCGAAGGGGCTTGCCAGGTGGGTGGCGAAGAGGGTAACCAGGTGGGCGACGACGACGACGACGAGGACGAGGAGGAGGTGTCGTTAACGGTGCACAGCTTAACGGATCGCAAATCCACGCCTGGCGAAGACGAAGGAGGCGGCGAAAGATAATGGAGGGGGAAAGAGGGGACTTTTGAGTCGACTAAAAAATCACATTGGCGGGGAAAGATAATGGGCATTTTGGGAACGAGGGGAAAGATAATGGGCAGTTTGGGAACGAGGGGGAAAAGATAATGGGCAGTTTGGGAACGAGGGGGAAAATAGGGTAAAGCGTACAAAGCGATCACGTGGGCAGTGATAGAAAACGAAAGGAGTAAACAAGGGGAGAAGCGTTAAGAGGAGAGGAGGGGAGATGGGGGGAGGGACTGGGGGGAAGGGGGGGTGGTGTGGGGGTGGGGGACGGGCTGGGGGAAGTCGGGGTGGGGAGAGGGGGAGGGATGACGGAAAGACCGAACGATCACTTGGCTTCAACATTGAGGCAGAAATAATTTCTTTGTTCACCTGCGGAAACGACGCGGCACGTCCCCTTGGACATGGCGGCCGGATCAGGCGGCATCTGCAGCCAAAGCGCGCCGATGCCGACCGCTAGGAAGAGGAGATTAACGAGCAGCAGGAGCGACACGGCGCACGTTAGCCACCACCGGATGTAATTAAAACGCGTACGCTGCCCGCGCAGGCATGCGGTGATAATGCGGACAACGGGGACGCCTATACAGAGGCCGGCGACGGGGACGGACGTGGCGACGGCGATGACGATGACTTCTGCGAACTCGACGAGCGACGACGCTGCGAAGGCTGCGACGTCGGCGACCGACATGGACGACGCCATCGCACGAAGTCCACGCGACTGCAAAAGCGTGCGAGAGAGCCTAAGAACTGCAGGCCACGGCGTGAGATATGAATCAGGCAAGAGTAGGAATAAACTGTCTATTATCTACAGTTACTAGTAATATCTCCAGAGACTACCCGAGGGAAGTCTACGCTAAAAGGGCCAAAAACCGTCGAGTGAAAAATAAAGGTCGCATACAGCTGCAGGACCCTCCAGACCCAGTGCAGGCTGAGGATAGCTGTTTCACAAAAAATAGGGGATGACTGGAGGATCAGACATACCAGGAAGCTCTTATCAGGCGATTTTGCCGAGGATAAGTGACCAAGCGAGTCGCCTTGAGCACTAGAGTGCAAGTGGAGTGCACCTAAAAGCCAAAGGATACGCCATGGCTGTTCTGGAATGGCCTGCTACTGATGCACTGTGCTATGTGAGATGGTGGTTGGGGGGTGGTACAAAAGCCATGTCCCAGTGTAGGTTTTCATTTGTTACCCTTCTTAACCATACTCGAACTCTTTTTATTGCACTTACAAACGAAGCACCTCATTCAACCGTAATCAGAAGTAGGTTGGTCATTGACTGCAGCAGAAGAGAGTGGCACTGTGAATCTAGAGGGAAAATGGCAGAGGGTGGACGGGAGGGTGAATGGGTATACAGTACATATCAGGACTTGGGAGTCCTATTCCCACTCCCTTGACTCGCAAAATACGTTTCAGAACGTTCAAGTGTGATTTGTTTTGTTTCCTGACGGTACAGATTGTTGCACAGCGATTCCGGGACGTCACTAGAAGGTGCCCCAACCCATTGCCCAGTGCCCTGCCCAGCTCTGTTAAAAAAGGGCATGCGACGTCGCACTCGCACAACTTGGTGAAGGCGAGACGGCAGCGTCGCAGGGGGAGGCCCTGACGACTCTGTGCTGCTTCGCCATTGGCGGTCCTCCCCCCTCGCCAGCGGAATAACCAATGAAAGGCTGGGCGGTGCTCTCGTTTGTGGGAACTTGCCCACCTTCCCATTCGAAGCGTCACGCACCTTCGTTTTAGGAAACGTGACAGTGCTGGGCATGCATGAATAACTACAACTGGGGCATCCATACACCATTAGCACCTTACTTCAGCGATGCACAGATACGAGGATCCTATGATAAATTCCGATTCACGAATAACGCTTTTCGATAAATACATATTCTCACCCTTGCTTCCCACTTGGATATAGGGTGGAGATTTTTCATAGTGGGAAGCTACACGAGCTACTACAGAGGATGCCACCATTCACATCGTGTCAACTCCATAGCAGCGCCACGTCGACCCCCAACAGGCCGCGCATCTCTCGTCGCCATTTCTTGCACCAAATTCCAAAATATGCAATTTGCATTTTGCAGCCTGCCAGCCAACCGCTCAAGCAGCCCCGCCCCACACAAAACCTTGCATGCTGCACCTCCCCATTCGATTCCATTCCTTACAATACAGTCCAGTACAACACACAGCCCGCTGACAATGATCCTACCGTACCGACGCGACGACACCGACCTGCGAACTTCACTCGATTTGACGCAGCCTCTTGCAGCGCACCTCCCTCCTGTCTCGAGTAGTGAGCCCCTCAGAGCGATTGGAAATCAGTCGCCTGGCCAGTTTCGAGGAATACAAGCTACGCTATCTCTTGCCATATCAGAATTGTACCTACGATAAATAATTCATGTCGTATGAACATTTTTCTTAGCCGTTTTTCGTGCAACTCCTGCTTTGTTTTCAGAGCGCCACGCTCTGTTTTCCACCATACCCGTTAGCTGTTTTTTAACTGAGCTGGACGCCATGACGAGGTCTTCCAACACGATCGCTGTCGGATGGGTTCTGCTCGCCTTCCTACTTTCGAGTAAGTCCGTAGTTAGGATATATCCGCTCGTTTAGTATCCCTTTGCTGCCGTCATTGTGTACCATTCGGTTTGCTCATGCCATAATTTAACCAAAAAACGTTGTTTCTACTTTCGCCCGTTGTTGTTTGCAGGCGCGGCATTGGCTGAGGTACCGCACCAGGGCCCTCTCCTGTTAGTCTGTTCGAACGATTGGTTTGGGAGAGCGAGGATTCCTGTTATTGCTATATCCTGCACCCCTTCCCGCTTCCTCTCTAGATGCACCTCTCTGCTGAACTATGACAAAATAAATTGCTGCATTTGCCCACAACTTCTAGAATGGTATTTCTATATGGTTTTGTTGGAAAACATTCACCTTTCATAGTCATCCCCCCCTCCCCCTCTCCCCCACCCCCCAGTCCAAGACCATTATAGTGGGGTATGGTATTATTACTCCATGGAGGTACGGAATCTCTGGATGGAAGCCCTTTCGGACAGTGCAACCAGGCGACCAGCTGTGTAAGTGCCAACCAAGCTGTTCTATGTTTCTATTCCACATTTGCCCTGCATTTTATAAGGGGTTAGTCTACATACCAGTATCATTTGAGTAAACGGGCGCAAAATTGCACTTTCATTTCGTCCTGTTGGTGTTTCTCTCGCCACTCACATTGTCCACCCGCTATGTTCGCAGTGTTCAAGTGGTTGGGGCCGCACGATGTCTGGCAGTTTCCCGCGAAGATCGCGTACGACAACTGCGACTTCTCCCTTGCGACCAAGCTATATCCTAAAACGGGGATTTTTGGGGCCCACTACTTCTACAATGTGAAAGATATTCAGAAGGGTTCGACCCTTTATTTTGGGTGTGCGGTCGGTAATCACTGTGCTAGGAAGATGAAAGCTAAGGTAGTTGTTCAGTGACGGGTGCACGATAAGGAGTTGCCTTTGCATTCCTATGGAATAAATGACGTTTCATGGTAATGGTAGTTCGAGTAAATGTAAACTGCAGTTTTGAGACAGCTCTCTTCAGCACAGACGCCGTTGCAAAACATCTTTGCAGGAAATCTTATTTGTGGAAATTTTTATATTTTAAACATGCGAAATGAGCTTATTTCTTGCCTGCATTGACAATAGCTGGTCTGCTAACATCCACACTCATACCATGAAACCCGTAGTCACTGTAGCATAGCACCGGTGTTGGCCATGGCAAAGGATGCAGCAAGGAAAGGAAGTGCAGTGGATCAGCGAAGTCTGCCAACTCTCAAAACTGTTATTCCCCATCCTCCTTTCACTCAACTCCAGGAGATAACTCCAGTGAACAGATCTAGCAAGAAATTGTCATAAGAAGTGGCATTACAAAGCCTCCAGATTTTAGTCCAATTGTACACCAGATAGGTGCCACTGTGTCAATACGTGGCAGCAACTTGTGTGATGACGCCTGTGTCAAAACTGGTATTCCCCATCGCACTTTCACTCAACTCCAGGAAACAACTCCAGTGAACAGATCTAGAAAGACATTGTCATAAGAAGTGGCATTACAAGGCCTCCCTGTTTTGCCTACTCCTTTCCTGCATTGGCAATGGCCGGGCTATCAACAGCAACGCCCATGGCATGGAGCCCGTTGTCCACATACAGTGTCACTCCAGTAATAGCCGAAGCCAGGGGCGAGGCGAGGAAGGCGGCAGTGGCGCCAACCTCGTCGGCGTCCAGCTCCTTGGGGAGCGGCGAGTTGGCAGCGGCGTAGTTGATCATGTTGTCGATGAACCCAATGGCCTTGGCTGCCCGGCTGCGCAGAGGACCTGCAGGAAAGGGATGGGGGCGGTTGGAGGGGGTAAGCCAAGAGGAGAGTCAGCGGCAGTGAGTGACACCCGCCTCATCGCCATCCAGCTCGTCGCCATCCACCTCGTCGCCATCCAGCTCGTTGCCTTGGCCGATTAAGCCGACTGCCTTGGCCGATTAAGCCGACTGCCTCGGCCGATTAAGCCGACTGCCTTGGCCGATTAAGCCAGCTGCCTTGGCCGATTAAGCCAGCTGCCTTGGCCGCGCGGCTGCGCAGAGGCCATGTAACATGGGGTGGTGGAGCAACATCCTGTCAACGAATCCAACAGCCTAGCCTGTACCGAGGACCTGCTTGCCTGCTTGATTGTGGCGAGCAGTTCCCGCAGCAGTGATGCTTTACAGTAAGCGTGACTATGTGGTGACTTTTGAGTCGACTCAAAAGTCATCTTGATGCACCGCACCCAGAAGTGTGCAACAATTTCTGAGGCGCCTCAAAAGTCATCCTGACGCACTGCACCCACAAATGTGCAACAGCAGCGGTACCTGCGGAGATGGTGTTGACCCGGATGCCGTACTTCCGCCCCGCCTCCCATGCCAGCACGCGCGTGTCGCTCTCCAAAGCGGCCTTGGCAGAGCTCATGCCACCGCCGTACCCGGGGATGACCTGCTCCGACGCGATGTAGGTGAGGGAGACCACGGACCCACCTGGAGCAGCGCGCATGGGAATGCAAGGGGAGAGGGGGCGGACAAGGGATGTAAGAGGGGAGGGGTTGGGGAGCAGACGAGGGATGAGTGGCAGTTGCTCTCCAGAGCCGCCTTGGCAGAACTCATGCCGCCACCGTACCCCGGGATGATCTTCTCAGAGGCAATATACGTCAGGGAGACGAAGGTCCCACCTGGGGTCATGGGTAGAGGGGGCGGGGAAGGGGGAGAAGGAGGGGGGGGGGGGGGGGGGGGAACGGGGAGGGGGTTGTCATTCTCCAGAGCGCCCTTGGCAGAGCTCATGCCGCCACCATATCTGGGGATGGTCTTCTCAAATGTACGTAGGTGGGGAAAGGGGAGACGCCGGACCCACCTGGGGGGGAAGGGGAGAGGAGGGAGGGGTTGGGGGGGGGTTGGGGGACGAGGGAGGGAGGGAGGAGGGGAGAGGGGGGGAAGTGCCGCCCAAAAGTGACGCCCGAAGAAAAACATAGAGGAGAGGGAGCAGGAAGAACGGTGGGAAAGAAGGGTTGGGTTGGGTGGGCGAGGAGGATGGGAGAGGCTGACTTGTTGGGGAGGATCTATCAGGCGCCTAGAATTTTAAGGCGCGTCGAAAAAGGGTAGAGGAGAAATGGGCAGGAAGATTAGAAGGAAGGAGCAGGGGTTGGGTTGGGTGGGCGAGGAGGATGGATGGGAGGGAGAGGCTGGCTTGTTGGAGAGGATCTAGAACCTCTCCAAGTGAGGTTTAGAACCTCTAGAACTTGTTGGGTGATTCATGGGATCACGCAAGTGAGGTCTCATCGCAGTGCTCCGCACCAGTTTTGAGGCGCACCAGTTTTGAGGCGCACCAGTTTTGAGGCACATAGTTTTGAGGTGCACCAGTTTTGAGGCGCATAGTTTTGAGGCGCACCAGTTTTGAGGCGCATAGTTTTGAGGCGCACCAGTTTGGAGGCGCACCAGTTTTGAGGCGCACCAGTTTGGAGGCGCACCAGTTTTGAGGTGCACCATTTTTGAAACCTTGATTCAAAACTGATCACACAAGTGAGGTCTCATCGCAGTGCTCCGCACCATTTTTGTTGCTCCCCACCTTTATTGTTGCTCCCCACCTTTATTGTTGCTCCCCACCTTTATTGTTGCTCCCCACCTTTACTGTTGCTCCCCACCTTTACTGTTGCTCCCCACCTTTACTGTTGCTCCGCACCTTTATTGTTGCTCCCCACCTTTATTGTTGCTCCCCACCTTTACTGTTGCCCCCCACCTTTATTGTTGCTCCGCACCTTTATTGGTGATGGGGCCGAAGCGCTGAACCAGAGAGATGAAGGAGAAGGACGAGGCGGAGAGGGCGGCCAGGTACCCCTTGCGGGAAGTATCGAGCAGGTCCTTGGTGACCTCGGGCCCGTTGGCCAGCGAGTGCACCAGAATGTCGATGGAGCCATAGTCCGCCTTCACCTTCGCTGCCACCTCCTGCAAGCGTATAAGGAGAGGGGAGGAGAGGAGAAGGGAAGGGAGGGGAGGGGAGGGGTTTGGAGAAGGGGAGGTGGGGAGGAGTGGCTTGCACGAGGTATCCAGCAGGTCCTTAGTGACCTCGGGCCCGTTGGCCAGTGAGTGCACCAGAATGTCGATGGAGCCATAGTCCGCCTTCACCTTCGCTGCCACTTCTTGCGAAAAGGAATGAGGAGAAGGGGGGCAAGGGGAGGGGGGTGAGGGGAAGAAGGGCGAGGGGAGGGGGCGAGGGGAGGGGGCGAGGGGAGGGGGCGAGGGGAGGGGGTGAGGGGAGGGGGGATCCACCCCGGCCCCAACGACCCAGCATAGCGCTTGTTGGTGCGGATCCTCTCGAGACATGCCCACCCGCCCACACAGTATGCGAATTTCGCGAACACATCCTGTGTTACTCACCTTTTGAGTCGTCTCCCGTTGGCTCACCTTGTGTGTTACTCACCAGTCGACTCAAAAGTCACTTTCGCGAACACATTCTGTATTACTCACCTCCACAGTCCACCCCGATGACCCCGCATAGTGCTTGCTGGTGCTTGCTGGTGCGGATCACCTCTACATCCGTCTACACCCACCCACCTGCATGGCCCTAGAACCTGCACCATATATCACGTCCCTCTCACCTCCACGGTCTACTCCGACGACCCCGCACAGCGCTTGTTGGTGCGGATCTCCTCTCTACCCACCTGCACCCACCTGCATCCACCTGCATGGTCCGATTGCCTGCACCATATATCACCTCCCTCTCACCTCGACGGTCCACCCCGACGACCCGGCGTAGCGCTTGTTGGTGCGGATCTCCTCGGGCACGTCGTCCAGGGTGTCGAAGACGGCGTCCATGGGGTAAACCTTGGCGATGTTGAAGAGGGAGCCGTCCGCCAACCTGGAACAAGAGGGGAAGGGAGAGACAGGGGAGTGTCAGGCAACAGGAAAAGAACGCTTGACCATGAGACAGCCCAGAAAAGAACAGGAAGGGGAGAAGAGATGGGTGGAATTGGGGAGAATAGGAGAAGGCATTCAGGTGGTATTGGTGGAATTTGTAGAATTGGTGGGATTGGTGGAGATGGTGCCCGGGGTGTGGACCTATGGGGTCAAAGAAGGCGTCCATGGGGCAGATTTACGCAATGGCAAAGCGAGCCGAGCTCCATGCGATAGGGGTTTAAGGTCTACCGATTCGCGGAAAACGCACGAAGGAACGGAGGGAGGAACCGGGAGTTCAACCAAGGAGGCGACTTACTTGCGCGACTCGTCGAACTTGCCCCTCCTTAGGCTGGTCTCGAAGATCGACAGAGCCTGTAGAGCGGGAGAGGGAGAGGGAGAAGACGCAGCAAGAGAAGGAGCGGAAACGAGAGACGGTCAGCGCCAATAAGCAGAGCGGGCTGCGGCGGAGGTGGGCTGCGACGAAGGTTGTGAACGAGACGCGGACAAAAACAGGGAAAAATCTCCACCGTCCACGTGCCGGTAAGTTGACTCGAGACGACTCATCGGCACCCGCGTGCCCACGCGGACCTCGGCGGCCGCCTTCGCGAGGTGCCGTGAGGCCAGCGCGCACCTGACATGTTCTGCCATACCCCGTGTGCATAAACGCGCAAGCGCACGCGCAGAGACACACCGGCACCCACGTGCCGACGAGCACCTCGGCGCCGTGAGGCCAGCGCGCACCTGACATGTTCTGCCATACCCCGTGTGCATAAACGCGCAAGCGCACACGCAGAGACTCACCGGCACCCACGTGCCGACGAGCACCTCGGCGCCCGCCTCCGCGAGGTGCTTGGCGATGGCCCACCCGAAGCCCTGGTCGTCCGCCACACCGGCGATGAACGCGCGCTTGCCTGGGAGAAGGAGGGGGGGCAAAGGGGGAGGGGAAGGGGAGGGTCGGGGATATGCGGTGAGTCGAATCAAAAGCCACCCGAAGCCCTGGTCGTCCGCCACCCCCGCGATGAACGCGCGCTTGCCTGGGAGAAGGGGGGAGGGAGAAGGGGCGGGGAGGAGGGCGGGGATGAGCGGTGACGAAAGGGTCGGGTCAACAGCCACCGGAAGCCCTGGTCGTCAGCCACCCCCGCGATGAACGCGCGCTTGCCTTGGGGAAGGGGGGTGGGAGGGGGGGAGAAGTGGAGAATAGTGACTGATAAGTTAACTACAGATTCTCCTGAAACCCTGCGTGAGGAGTCTATTTTTGAGGCGCCTCAAAAATAGACTCCTCACTCCTGAAACCCTGATCGTTTAGCTGCATCCGCGATGAGCGCGCGCTAGCTAGCGAACGGTGAACGGTGGGGAAGTGGAGCGACGACCGCAAGAGTCGTAGGACGTGAAAAGCGGGGATCAAATGGGTAAGGCCAAGCGTCAGATAAATGTCAGGCAGGTTCGTTTTGTATTTCAAACTGCTCAAGCTCTATTGTCTTTCGGTCTGCCTGGACACGCACCACGGAGATCGATGCTCAGACCGCCTCCGGAGGCGGCGCCGACGGCATCGCCGTCAGCAGCAGCCGTCACAACGGTCCTGGCCCTGGGCTCGGCGCGCAGCGCCACGTCGGCATTAGCGACCGCGCAGCCCAGCGATTGGCCCGCGAAGGATGACTTGGCGAACTTCGCGAAATGAGCGGTGGGAAGGATCTTCGCAGCGCCGGCAGCGACGGAGGCGGCGCGGCTGGCGGAGAGCTTAGTCGCCACGGCGGCGGCGGCGACGTTTGTGGAGGAAGCGACAGCTGCGAGGACACCCATGGCTGCTGATTACAGATCTCTAAAACAACAACTCAAATGTACGGTGCAGATCTGAGATGCAAGCAGCCAAGGAAAGGGCTGCGGGTCACGCTTGGTCAGGGAAGAGCAAGCAGGAGCAGGCAAAATATTAGGCTGAGGAGAAAGAAATAAAGACAGGAGGGTGAGGAAATAGACCAGGGATCAGAGATTCTTGGGTCCGCTGTTTCTCCTAGGAACCAGATCTCTGGTCAGGAATCAAATGGGGATCAACATTGGGAATACCGAAATCGTGCATCTGTGAGCGACTAGCGATACCAGGCGCGCGAAGAAGATGACTCCTTTCGCAACGTATGAGATGAAGTTTTTAATAGTGGTCATTGTTCGTCGTTGTCGCGAATTGGTTTTGGGAGTTACAGAGAGGTTTCCACGTCGGTCGATCGGACGGTTGTGCAACCCGATGTGACAGGTTTGAAGCGCCCTGGAAAGAGCAGATGGGTCACTGACACGTCAATCACGTCATCTGGAGCACCTCTTTCGACACATGGCACTGACATGGTCTTCAAAGATGAGGTCAGATTGCCTCATTCTAGGCTTTTGGAAATCTAATGATAACAACGGTTTTCTAGTCATGGATCAAGAAAAATACTACATCAACCTTTTAGCGATTTCGATACAGTGGATGGATGCCACCCCATAAGGCTTCATTACTAGCTCCTCAGAACCCCAACCGCTCCTTTTCCTTTCCCCCCTTTCCCCATTTCCCCGTCCCGCCTTTCCCCAACCCCCATCCCCCTTCCCCCTCAACCATTTCCCCCCTTCTCCCCCCCGCTTCCTCCCCGCAGCCCCCGTCCTCTCCCCTCTTCCCTCCCCCTCTCGCCCTCTCACAAGTCTCCGAGGGTTTTAGTCTAAGAACCTCCACTCCTCGCTCCTTTTCCCTTACTCCTGGTTTGCCTAGTCGTGCCCTAGCGCACCCATCCTCCCTTCGCGTCTCTCCCCTCCACCTCGTCACACTTCACGCGGCGCCATGACGAAGAAGGAGAACTCCCCACGGTACGCATATTATTTCAGGTTAATCGCCTTTCGGCGTAGTTGCTTCGATACGGAACGTCGTGCTTTGCGGGGAGCGAGTATCTGCAAGGTGGATAGTCGCCTGGCATATTGACCGTTGCGCCGATTAGTCCGAAAGATTCGACAAGCGATTCGGATTTCCCGCGTGGAGAACGTTCTTGTTGCAGGGCAAGACTAGAAGGCGGCCCAGAAGGAATGTTCCTTTTTGCGTTGACCTAAATGCAGTCTAGGAAGCAGCTGGCTGGATTTGGGGCTCCTTTTTGTATATCAACAAGTCAGGATGTTTAGGAGGTCAAGTCCGCTCACAGGTCCAAGGACCACAGTCACCAGCTGCCCTCCGGAGTTTTGTCACGTTGGCTCGAATACGTTTTTTTCGGATCCTTTCGTCCCTGGTTCTCGGTACATGAAATCGTATTTCGCCAAGCAGCTGATCCCAACCTTTTCGGGAAAAGTGATGCCGCTTTCACGGCACGATTGCCCGGCGTGCGCATTCTTCCGTACTAAGATCCGCGTTAGCCCTCGAAGTTGCACGACGGGCAATCGTGCCGTAAGTGATCCGCCGTTGCTGGAGAAGTGGGCTCGCGAGCAGTTTCTGGACTAGCCTCAGCCTCAGTATTGACTGCTGAGAACCCGATAGTCGAACTAGCGGCAGTTGATAATATAACGGTTGTGACTTTCTGCAAATGCTGCACAAGATTTTCAGGCTGCTATCCCGTTCAGGAATCCCTAGGTTTTCTCCTTAAGTAAACGCCAGGTTCCCCTCTCCGCGCCGACTGTGCTGATTAAGTGTTACCGTTTCCCCCCTTGTCGCATTGTGTCGCCCCCCTTGTCGCGTTGTGTCGCGTTCAATTGCAGGCTCTACGTGCGGGCTGTAGTGCTGGGCCACAAGAGGTGAGATCCCCTATAACGGGTATCGATTTGAGATACCTCTATTCTCGTTATTGTGTAGCTGGGGAGCCCGTTATTGGGCTACAAGAGGTAAGCTGTTCACTCTCAAAATTTATCTGCAGTCACCACCGAATTAGGTCAAAATTTCATCCTTCCACTTATCCCGCTCCCTTACCCCACCCCTCTCCCCTTCCCTGCCTCTCTTCCCACGGGCAGGTCGAACCAGCCCGAACACACGTCTCGTCAGGCCGTTGAGTCGATTCAGAAAACACCTAGCCACCCTCCCACCCACCCACTCACCCTCCCACGCCTACCCCCCCCCCCCCCCCTCCCCCCGCCCCCCCGCTTCCCTCCCGCCTCTGTCCGCAGAGGCAAGTCGAACGTGCACGAGCACACGTCGCTGCTGCAGATCGAGAACGTGCAGAGCAAGGAGGACAGCAAGTGGTACATGGGCAAGCGCCTCGTCTACATCTACAAGGCCAAGACGCTCAAGAACGGCTCCCTCTACCGCTCGATGTGGGGACGGGTCACGCGCCCGCACGGTAACACCGGGGTGGTCCGCGCCAAGTTCAAGAAGAACCTGCCCTGCACCGCCACGGTGAGCGAACGGGGAATGTGGTTTTAACGAGTGGGGTGCAACGGGGGTTGGGAAGTGGTGAGATTGCCCTAAAACGGCTTCCTCTACCCGCCCGCTTCATGTGGGGGCGGGCTACTGGGATGGTTCGTGCCAAGTTGAAGAAGAACCTGCCTTGCACCGCCACTGTGAGTAACGGGAGGGGCTGTAATGAGTTGGGTTATGGCGAGTATAGGGAAGTGGCTATTAATCAAATGTACTCTTTGTACTGATGCTGGAGGCTGAGTATCCATAGTCTCATTGTACTCGTTGTACTGATGCTGGAGCCCTTGCCTTTCCCTCTTTCCTCAACCCTGTGCCCGGTGTTCTGTTTCAACAGGGCCGCAGGGTGCGTGTGTTCCTCTACCCGAGCAACATCTAAAGGATTTCAGGATAGGTTGCCACATTACTAAGCACCCCTGTTACAAGTCTTATGCAATGAAAGAAGTTCAAGAAAGGGAGCAGTGCAAATATTTGTGTTCGTCCTTTCATGTATGATGTGGCTAAGCATGCTGATTGATAGTGGAGAACGATATTTACCTGTTGTGGAATGGTATTAACGGTGTAGCTGCTTCACGGAAGGGCTTGTATTGGTTCTGATGACAGAGTCGCGGGGAACGAGCTTCGCGCCACGTATCGCGTTCACGAGCCACCAATTTGGGCGCTACAATTCAGCGTCCAACCAATCCCCATCATCCACATCAGTTCCCCTAGCATGTCAGCTCTGCATGCGTGGTGCAGATAGTGTACACGCGATGCGCATTCGTGAAATCTGATTACATACCGAAGCACCCTTACCGAAGCTCCTTATAGTGGTGCTGAATGCCTCCATAATCAGTCCCGCCACCTCGCACCTAAAGCGGAAAAGCGGAATCGCCCCCTCTTTGCTCTAAACCGTTTCGATTCGAGTCGCGAAGGCCGAACCAATTTTTGCGCTAAAACACTAGGATCCTCGCATTCGCGGTGAGCTACGGAATTAGAGAATCACTTCGCACTCTCCGCCCTTCCTTAGAGCACTATTTTGCGGAAAGTGAAATGGCACTCGCCGTGATTTCCGCTCGCACGTGCAAGCCGATCGCGTTGAGTCAATCGCTCTGTCGAATCGTCGGCGCCGCTGGTGTGCTCGGCGCGCGCAGCGCCGATCACGGCGCCGGTCTCGGCGGGTCATCAGGCACAGGCGAGGGCAACCGCGCGTTTCACGGAGCGTCGGCGGAAGGCTCTTTCGCGCGCGCAAGCGGGGGTGCTACGGGGGGCGCAAGCGGGGGCGCAAGCGGGGGCGCAAGCGGGGGCGCAAGCGGGGGCGCAAGCGGGGAAAGCAGCGGGGTGCAGATGGGAGGAGGAGAAGCGCCAGTGCCGGATGGAAGTTCCTCGGAGCAACGCACGCCGCGACGGGTAGGCGGGGAAACAATTCCGGACGCTTGCCGTAGTTTAGTGTAGAATACTAAACTAAATTCTCTGCCATTCCATCCCCGGCGGATCACAATATACTGCAGAAACCCCTATCCTCGTGCCCCCTTCCCCTCTTTCCCCCTTCCTCCCCCCCATCTCCCCCTCCTTCTCCCCTATCCCCCCCACCTCCCCCTCCTTCTCCCCTGTCCCCCCCACCTCCCCTTCCTTCTCTCCCATCCCCCCCCCTCCTCCCTCCCCCCCGCCTCTTCCCCCCCCTCCAGCGGCTCCCGCACAAAAGCGCTGCCCCTCTTTTTCTTTTTTTTAGGCGCCTAAAAAAAAACTTTTGAGGCGCCTCAAAAAAAAAACCTACCCCTTTTTCCTCCCCCCCCCCCGTGGGTCTGCCAGATAGTTGTGATGGGTGGGAACGGCTTTGTGGGCAGTGCCATCTGTCGCAACGCCATTGGCCGGGGGATAGAGGTGGCGAGTGTGAACCGGTGAGAGGGGAGGGAAGGGTGGGAAATGACGTGGAAGTTGTTGATTCATCCCTACTGGTGCTGATTCTTGGAGGTGCTGATGCTGGGAAGAGTTTTGTGGGGTTGGCCACCTCCTGCCCAGGAGAGACTCTTTGGCGTGGTGGCATGTGGGTGTGTTAGTTAGATTATGGAGCAGAGTATCCATGCATCTCTCATGCATGGATGCGCGTCTCTCTCACCTGATGCATGCACGGGGTTCCTTCATGCATGCTGATGGGATGGTCTCTCATCCCCATGGTCATGATGCACGTGTGTTTCGAAATGTGCATGCATGTTGCCATGTATGCATCCGCACATCTATGCATGCGCATGCGTGGGTGGATGCATGCGTGGGTGGATGTGTGGGTGGATGCGTGGGTGGATGCATGCGTGGGTGGATGCGTGGGTGGATGCATGCATGCATTGGTCAGATCAGGTCAACCCAACCGGAGTGAAGCATGGATAAAGGAGGTCGAGTGGATCAGAGGTACACACCTAGTAGTACCTATTAGCACCTAGTAGTACCTCTGTTCACCCCTTACAATTCCCCTTTTGCTCATCCATCCGTTCCTGCCAGGAGATCTCTGGACATCTCTGTAAATGATGCTAACCTGAGCTCACCCCCCTTCACCCCTCTCCAAACCTCTCAATCCCTCTCTCGTCTGCCAGGCGATGCCTTGGACCCCTCCTCTTGGAAGCAGCAATTGCGAGGAGCCACGGGAGTGGTGAGTGGTGAGGTGTGGTTGAGTGGCATAGCAAGTGGTGGGCCGCATTTGTCCCATGGGAGTGGTGAGTGGCATTCAGTGAGCATGGCATGGCATAGCCATGTAGCATGGCGTGGTATGCCATGGCATTGCAAGTCAGAGGATAGAAATAGCCCTGGGCCTCTTTTGTTGGAAGCAGCACTTGCAAGGGGCCACGGGAGTGGTGAGTGGTGATAGGTGGTGGTGAGTGGTGATAGGTGGTGGTGTGTGGTGATAGGTGGTGGTCCCTGACCCGCCTCCTCCCCTTCTTGCATTCCTCTCACCATTGCTGCAGGTATCATGTGAGGGCGAGGTGACTTTTGAGTCGACTCATAAGTCACCTCCCCTTCTTGCATTCCTCTCACCACCTCCTCCCCTTCTTGCTGCAGGTAGCATGTGAGGGCGCCTGGGGCTCGGATTTAATTTTGTGGCACCTTTTTGAGGCGCCTGAAGACATCCTTTCTGAGACTCTCTTCCTCTCCCCATGGCTGCAGGTCTCTTGTGTGGGCGCGTTTGGCTCGAATGAGTGGATGCGGAGGATCAACGGGGATGCCAATATTGGGGTGGTCAACGCCGCTAAAGAGGAGGGTGCGTGGTTTGGTTTGGCCGCTAGTGGGGAAGGTAGAACTTGCGCTGGTTCAGAGGGGCTCTTTTTTTTCGTGCTTTCTTCCTTCTTTTTGTGAAATGGGATGCGAAGCCATGAGCCGTATCGAGGTGACTATTGAGTCGACTCAAAAGTCACCTTGAAGCTGTGCCGTGAGCCATATCGGTCTGTTTGGGTTGCGGCTTTCCTTCCATCGTGGGGTATTCCTTCCCTGTTCCCTGGCAGGGGTGGCGAGATTTGTCTTCATTTCCGCTCATGACGTGGGGCTGCCGTCGTTTGTTCTCCAGGGATATTACGAGGGCAAGGTAAAATCCGAATGCACTGTGCAAATGCAAGAAGCACTGTTTCCTGTGCGCACTGTTCCTTCCATTGGCCATATGTTTCTCCTCCCTTCACTTTTCGTCTTTCTTGTTGTTCCACTTTGGCCTCCTCACCTTCTCTTCTCCCTCTGTTTGTCCCTTCCTCCATCCCTCTCTCCCTCTCTTCCTCTCTTCCTCTCTTCCTCTCTTCCTGGGTATTTTTGAGAATTTTCAAAAATACCCTCCATCCCTCTCTTCCTCTCTTCCTTCCTCTCTCCCTCCCTCCCTCCCTTTCGCGCCTTTCCCCTCGCTACCCTCCTCCACCTTTCCCAACTCCCTCAGAAAGCGGCAGAGGCAGCTGTCATGGCAGAGTACCCCACCACAGGTGTGCACATGCAGCACAGGTGCGCACATGCAGCACAGGTGTACGCATGCAGCACAGGTGTACGCATGCAGCACAGTTGTGCACATGCAGCACAGGTGTGCACATGCACCACAGGTGTACGCATGCAGCACAGGTGCGCACATGCAGCACAGGTGTACGCATGCAGCACAGGTGTACGCATGCAGCACAGGTGTACGCATGCAGCACAGGTGTACGCATGCAGCACAGGTGCGCACATGCAGCACAGGTGTACGCATGCAGCACAGGTGCGCACATGCAGCACAGGTGTACGCATGCAGCACAGGTGTACGCATGCAGCACAGTTGTGCACATGCAGCACAGGTGTGCACATGCACCACAGGTGTGCACATGCAGCACAGGTGTGCACATGCAGCACGGGTGTGCACATGCAGCACGGGTGTGCACATGCAGCACGGGTGTGCACATGCAGCACGGGTGTGCACATGCAGCACAGGTGTGCACATGCAGCACAGGTGTGCACATGCAGCACAGGTGTGCGCATGCAGCCCAGGTGTGCACATGCAGCACAGGCGTGCACATGCTCGTGGCTCAAGTCTAGTTTTGAGGCGCCTAAAAAATTACGCAGAGCTGACAGCTTACCGCACAAGAATATCCGTGTGCCATGTTTTCTTTCGAGTCAGCTCAAAAGCCCGATCCAGCCCGCTGGATTTTGAGTCGACTCAACATACAGCCCCCACTGTCCATGTGCTTCTGTCCTACGGGGTAAGTTGGTTTTTGAGAATTCTGAACATGTCCTACAGGGTAAGTTGGTTTTTTAGACTACTCAACATGTCCTACGGGATCTGCATGTTTCTCTATCCACGTTTTGTTGTACTACCCTACAGACTTGATGGAAATAAGGCCTCCGCAGCCCACCTGTAATCCGTCTACGACTCCCGGATCTGCGTGGCTCTCTATCCATGTTCCTGTCCCATGACATTTTTTTAGGCCATGTCTCCAGATAGGCACCTCAAAAATAAGCGCCTAAAAAAAAGGCGCCTCAAAAATAGTCTCTATCCGTGTTTCTGTCCCATGACTTCCCAGCTTCCGCCATGTCTCCAGATAACCACCATTCCCGCACGTCTCCACTCCACATACCCACCAACCTTGCCCCAAATCTCTTCTAAGGGTGTTTCCGCACGTCTAAGGGTGTTAATTCTCAAAAACACCCACCTTGCCCCACATCTCTTCTAATCATTTCGCAGGTGTCATCCTCCGTCCAGCCATGATCCATGGAACTCGCAATGTTGGCTCCTACCGACTACCTCTCAGCTTGATCGGCGCTCCCTTGGAAGTGGTAAGAGATACAGTGAAGTACTTTGCCCTTAGAGCCATTCTCCGTCTGGCCTTGATTCGAGGCACTCGCACTGTCGGCTGCTAGTGCCTCCCTCTCAGCTTGATTGACGCTCCCTTGGAACTGGTGAGTGAGTGAGAGAGAAGGACTCTCGTTGCCTCCCCATAAGAGTCATTCTTAGTCATCTCATTCTCGGTCCCGCATGATCCACGGCACTCGCAGTGCTGGCTCCTACCGCCTACCTCGCAGCCTGATTGACGCTTCCTTGGAACTGGTGAGAAAGAGCTTGTTTTAAGGCCTGAGGTCTTGAAGTAGAATCAAATCTTCCGCTATCACCTGCCTCTTGTGACTTGTCAGCTCAGCCCTAGTGTCCCGTGTGCCTGTCTCTGCTGCTGTTGCCTCAGTTGTAGTCGAAAAAACTGCCACTGAAACATTTTCCTCTGCCCCATCTACTCACCACTTGCAATTCCAGATTTTGAAGAATCTCCTCTTCCTCTCTCACCTGCCCCTTGTCAGCCCAGCCCTAGTGCCCCCTGTTCCTGCCTCAGTTCCTGACGTTTCCGCAACCGCAGTCAAAACTGCCATTGAACTCTCACCCATCCCTTGCTTCTCTGCCCTCTCTCCCCTCTCCTCTGCAGGTTTTCAAGAATCTCCCCTTTCTCTCACACCTGCCCCTAGTTGGCCCAGCCCTAGTGCCACCTGTTCCAGTCTCAGCCGTTGCCTCTGTTGCAGTCAGAGCAGCAACGGATCACTCGTTTCCTGGTGGGGTGGTGGACGTGTGGGGAATACTGAAAGAGGGACACTAGGCTAAGATGTATACTGTAGATGGAAGCGGAAGTGGTGTCATGTACAGGTTTCATTTTCTCTTGGTCTAGCTTCATGGCATGAGCATCCACTTCAGGGAAGGGGCATTGAATTGAACATGTTTCGTCAGTGACAGGTTGAAATAGAATTATCAAATGTAGCGAGAATTGACAACTGTGAAGGGATTACGGCTATCCATTAACTGAGACTTCCATTAGTAGTCATTATTGAAAAAAACAGGCCAGAACTAAAAGAAGAGGTGCACAAAACAAGGTTGAAGGTAATCATGCAGGTGTGTAGGCACCAGCAGTGCAACTACCACCCCACCCCACTATTTACGGTCTCTCCTACTGCACATGTTCCTCTCCCCCCTCACCATCTTCTCCCCTGCCTTCCCCCTCCAATTCCTCATCTCCTTCCTCCACCACCCCATGATGATCCTCATGCATATGCTCCTCATCCTCAGCATGCTGATCTTCTTCCCCTGCACCATGCTCCTCCTCCTCAGGATGCCCTGCTTGTGCAGCAGCATGCATGGAAGCAGCAATGAGCCCATTTTCATGCATCTGCTGCTGCATCTGCTCCTGCTGCTGTTGCTGCTGCTGCTGCTGCTGCAGCTGCTCCTGAGCGTCTTCAAGCTGCTCGTCGCCATGTGCCTGCATCACTGCCTGACTTCCGCCAGGCATCTGCTGCAGCCCGTGCGTTCCCTGCAGGAGTAGCACGCCATTATCCAGCTGACCCTGCGCCGCTGCAGCAGCAGCAGCAGCAGCTGCAGCAGCTTCGTGTAACATGCTGTCTTCCAGAACCTGCTGCTGCGAAGCTTCGTGCTGGCCTTCATGTTTCGCAAGTGCATTTGGATCGTGAGGCATGGCCATGGCTCCCATGTGAACCATGTCGCTTTGAACAGCTTGAGTAAAAGTCTGTTGCTGCATTTCCATCATCTGCTGCTGGTGCAAGACTTGTTGCTGATGCGCATGATGCTGATCGGACGGCTGGTGTGACATCTGCCTCTTCTTAGCCATCCGAAGCAATCCCTTCTGCAGCAGGTCCCGGCATCGCTTCTTGAAACGGCCAATGTCTTCTTCGTTCGTCTTCTGGCCTCCTAGCGCTTCGCGAAGCTTCGACACACTTCCGTCAAACTCCTCTCGGAGAATGTCCTCCCAGAAGTTAATGCTGGCGTCAAGATCCCCACCAAGCTCGCGAGCCTTTTCTTCTACAGCATGAACAATCCTCATCTGCACCGATCATCGAAAACGAATTACGATTAAACAACGATATAAGCCGGAGCAAAATGCAATGTTTACTGGTCAGGATCAGGAAAAAAAGAAACGATGTCGAAGGACGATACCGACCTGCTTGCTCCAATATTTGTAGTCATTCATATTCTTCCACCAAACTTTCTTCCGGTCCTTCTTCCTCTCTTCTTCAAGCTTCTCGATTGAAGGAAAACCGTTCAGCCCTTCCTTCCATTCGAGCCATACGTCGCGAACCTTGCACTCTGCACTCCGGTTGACTTCGTATCCGGAAGGATTAGCGAAGTCAGACTCGAAACCAGATGGAGACTTTCCGTCAGACATGGAAGTCGGCAGGCCGGGAGAAGCGAGCTTGTTGCGTCGCATCTTCAACTTTCCCGGCTTAACGCCAAGCATGGATGGAGGCGTAAATACCGAGTGGAGCATCCGAGACGGATCTCCATGACCCATCATCGGCATCGGCGAACCTGTCGCGGGAAGAAAACATCCACAAGCAACGCGATACATCGTTAAAACGAAGGGGAATAAACGAGAGAACGGAAAATAGTTGAAAATTACCAATACAACACGAGAGAGGGAAGCTCACGAGAAGATGCCTTACCATCAACGGAAAACTGTGGGGGGAAGGGCGTGCCACCAGTCGGCGCTCCATTTTCCCCGGGATTTCCGCCAACGGAGTTCGGATCAAACAAAAGCTTCAGAAATATCGTCTCTTGTGATCGTAACTGCTCCTTGTCCTTCCACAGACATTGTCGTACATTTCTCGCATCATCCATGCGATCCCTCTCGCCATGTTCACTCGCAGCCTCAATGTCCCTGAAAGTGCGATCCAAAAGTGTATCCAAATGAGCTAGCTCGCGTCTCACCCTGAGGAGCTCCCCTTTGAGCTCCTCTGGGGAGAAACGAATCGCCATGGCAGAGTTTAGCGACGCCAGGTTGGGCGAGGAGGGGGGAGAGTCAGAACCAGGAAATATTTTCTTCGCTGGCTGAGGCGAGAAAAGGCAGGCGAAACGAGCGAGAGTCTACGCGAAAGGAAGAGATTACGCGAAAGGAAGAGACAAGGAAGGCGAAATGAAGAGTTGCTGGAAATGAGGGGAGGCAAAGAACCAGGCGAAGGAGAAATGGGTTGGCGAGGGGGGGAAATGGATCGGCGAGGGTTTCAGATTGTCTGAGTAGAGCTGGCGAGGGTCTGAAAGAGGGATCGGCGAGATGTGGATAGCAGCTAGCGAGGGTTTCGCACTTGCGGCGAGGGTTTGAAAGGACACAAGCGAGACATGCCGAAAGGATATGGCGAGGGTTTGGTTTCGCTCTTCACTCTGCTGACTGTACCCATCTGCCCGGTTTCGCACGCCCAGCGTCATGCACGGACAGACGCACGATAAGCGCAGGGCAGTGGCGAACGAATCTGGGAAGGTCTGCGAAGGTTTTGACCGAACCTGGATGATCGCCATCGCAGCGAAAGTGGGCTGGATGAAAATCCCAATGGTGGGTGGGGATGAGCTGGCATGGGCCAACGCGGGCTCATCATATCTTTCTGGGCAGATCTGACTGCCCGTAATAAAAGTCTGGATTATCTGATGAGATAACAAGGTAGGGCTGCAGTTCGCAGTGTAATACTACATCAAAATGAGCTGCCTTGCTTGTCCATTCACAATTGATTCGTCCGTCCTGTGTGCAGTGTGCACCCACTGACAGCACCCCAGGGCGCATTTCTAACATATGTTTCACTGTCATCGTGCAGGACCATCCAAAATCTCCTTTTTGACAATCTTGACCGTATTAAACCTTGCCACAAAGCGGGCTGCCACATGCGAAGAATGGCCCCCAACAAGCAGAGTCTCTTGAGTGGCTACAAAATGGAGCGAATGATTTATTTCCAGAACTGAGCCCACTTAGCACCATCAGGTCACTGACTTCACTAACAATAATCTCTTAGTTAGCTCGTTTCTCAATGAGTCGTCTTCCCGGAGTGTGCTTCCACTAGCCTGGGGGTAAGAATGTCGACTAATAACAGCAGCAAAACTGCTGATAACAAATCCGAATTTCCAATAATCAGCAGCATCAAAGCTGCTCCTGCCAGTTCCGTACCTACCGAGCCCAGAAATCAGGCGCTTCTCCTGAGCTTGCTGACTTGCAACCTGGAAATTCAAAACCTGATGTTTCAGCGGCAATATCCGTAATAAGCCAGGCTTCAAATAAGAACTCGAATTCGGAATCCACTTTGCAGGAAGCAGCAGCAGCAGAATCCTCGTCCCGTGCTGCAGCGACCAGCTGAACCGTGACGGTGAAAGAAAGAAAGAATCTCACAAGCCCCAAGGTTCAATCTGCTGAATTTGCCTCAGAGTACCACGCAAGCAGGGAAGCACGTCAACAGGAGTCTGAGACATTTCAAAAGAGCCTGAGCTATCCGGCGAGTGTCGTCGGGAGAGGAGATGATGCCCCGGCTGTGGGGTCTCCAGAGCCTGAACGTGATCTTAGGCAGAACTCCCAGGCCTGAAGCAGCAACAGCAGCAACAGAAGCAGCAGCAGCAGCAGGAGGAAATGGAGGAGAAGCAGAAGCAGCAGCAGCAGCAGCAGCAGCAGCAGCAGCAGCAGCAACAGCAACAAATTTCACAGTCCAGCCCCAGTGTTCGTCCATTCAGCAGCATTATCCCGAGGACATCCGAGGCATGTACAACGGTCCAGTCAAGCGATTCTGCAGCAGCCGTGTCAGAATCTGCTTTTGATGCGCCTCAAAAGCAGACATCCAAGGCATGTACAACGGTCCAGTCAAGCGCTTCTGCAGCAGCCGTGTCAGAATCTGCATTTGATGCGCCTCAAAAGCAGACATCCAAGGCATGTACAATGCTTCAGTCAAGCGCTTCTGCAGCAGCTGTGTCTAAATCTGCTTTTGATGCGCCTCAAAAGCAGACATCCGAGGCATGTACAATGGTCCAGTCAAGCGCTTCTGCAGCAGCCGTGACAGAATCTGCCCCAACCACATCAGTCGCCCCGTTACCAAAGGAGTGCGTCACCTCTGCAGCTGGCAGAAGTATTCCAAGGACATCTGGGATATCCACTGTAGCAGTTCAGTCAAGTGCTTCGGCAGCAGCTGTATCAGCCGAATCTGCACCAACAACATTAGTCGCCCCGTTACCAAAGGAGTGCGTCGCCTCTGCTCCAAGCAACCGTATTTCAAGGACATCTGGGACATCTACAGTCAAGTGCTACTGCAGCAGCCGTTTCAGAATCTGCATCAACGACATCAGTCACCCCTTAACCAAAGGAGTGCGTCGACTCTGCTCCAAGCAACCGTATTCCAAGGACACCTGGCACATCTACAGTAGTCCTGTCAAGTGATTTTGCAGCAGCCGTTTCAGAATGTACAGCAATCGAGTCCGTCACCTCTGCAGCAAACAAATCAGATGTTCCATCGATGGGCACGAGCAGAAGTGGCTGTGCCACTAGCAATCTCACGACAACCAGCAGCACGGACGCAATTCCCCGTGGCAGCATACCCACTATTCCCAATTTTTGAGGCGCCTCAAAATAATCCCACGACAACCAGCAGCACGGACGCAATTCCCCGTGGCAGCATACCCACTATTCCCAGCAGCAGTGCCGTTATCCCTAGCAGCAGCAGCACAGTGAAACGCATCGCCAGCACCACACCAACCTCTGCTTGTGGTAACTCAGTTACCACCCGGACCACTGCCTTCACCAGCAGCAGCAGCAATACTGCGTCTGCCTTGGGTTCGGGGATGAGTTACAGGGAAAGCAGTACTGCTGCTGCAGTTGCTCAAGCAGCAGCAGCAACAACTATCAAGCAGGATTACAGTGATTATAACGACCATAAGGATGATGACTATAAGGAGGGTAAACGAGAGAAGAAGAGCAGTGCAGGCGGCAAGAAGCATCACCAGCACAGCCACCACCACAAGCAACAGGGTTACCATGTAACCAGCAACAGATGGAGAAGGAACCTGTACCGAGTGGCACCGAATCTCGCCATGTGCGTGCTCCTACTGGTCGTTCTGGGTAGCATAATCCACCAGCTAGTGGTGGTTACCACCTTGTACAGTGACGAATACGCCTCCCTGGGAGATTTCAGCAGGGGGGAACGGAGGCGACGCTATATCAAACGGTCTTATAATCGCAAGAGACAGTCTGGTGTTGGGGTAAAGCTAGAAGATATCTGGGCGGATAAGGAAGGGGATGGGGGAGAGGAAGCGGAGGGAGAAGATAGCCCATGGGATACCCGCAAACGTTACAGAATCTTCTCAGAAAGAGAGGAGGCTTGGGCCGGAGCGGCAGAGGCAGATGCAGGAGCTGCCTTGGACCTGCCGAACCTGCAGGCTCGGAGACTGCGCAACCGAGGCCTTGTTCCGAAGCAGATGGGAGCAAAAGGGCAGTAAGAAGAGTCCAGGGGACGCTGATGGGGCAGGCGAGGGTCAACGCAAAGACCAGGAAGGCAACGACAACAAGTACAACTATTACCATCACCATCACCATCACCATGACCATGACTACCCCTTGTATGACTTGGCAGATCCTAGAGCACAGCTGCGGATGTGCAGCAGCAGCAGCAGCAGCAGCAGAGAGAGTCCCAGCGCCACGTTCCTCAAGGGCTGGATCCTGCACGGCGACTCCGGAGGTGCAAATGGCAGGGCTCAGGGGAAGCAGGCCAGGGAAGCGAAAATGCAGGGGACGCAGGAAGGGTGGGAGAATCTGGGGCCAGGAGCGTGGGGGGTACACGTGGGAAGGCCCAAGTGGTGGAGATGACAGTCTTTGAAGCTGAGCTGGTGCACGTTCCGCCTGCCTTCGCCCTCAATGCGGCGGTTGTGGAGGGAGAGGAGGGGCGTGAG